TTGTAGGAGGGAGAGGTTGTTAAGTTCTTGGGTGAGGAGAGATGAAGTGGCCCCTCATTCTAGTTTTAATTCACATGCCCCCTCTGTCGGTCGCAACAAGGTTAATTTAGAAAGCAGCCCTTCTGCTGTGGGTATCTTTTCCCCCAGATCAAATTAATGCATGTTTTCCAAGGAGCCAATGTAACCAGGCTTTCTTAAGTGAATGAAAGAGCAAGTTTATTAGTGACTAACTGGGAAGAGATAATCATTCAACGTGCAAGCACATATTAGAAATAAGAAGTGAGTCCAAAAACGAGATAAAAGTTATTAAAAAGACGTACAGATCAATTTCTTGAGTTTTTTTGTGAAGAATATAGGGTAGAACATTGCAAGCGTTCCATGGAATTGTACTGATAGCATTGATATTGGTGGTTGCTTTTGAGGTTCTTGAGTTCACAGGTTAACTGAAATTCTTTCGTCCTGGCTCCTTTCAGTTACTGACTAGCAGCACTCGGAGTGAGAAAATCTCTTTTCCCTTTCTTTACCTGCAGTGCAGGGGTGTTAAATGACAGTTCTCAGTTTGGTGCGTTGAGTCCACGCATCAGCATGTTATTCTGCTAACACGCCCAGACCAGGGTTTCACTTAACTGAGTTCTGAGGAAGGATCACACACAAACGTGACGGCAAGAGATGGCTCCCTGCTGAGAGGGTGGCTTTGTAGTCAGCCTCCCATTATGTCTTTTTTTTTTGCCTTTTATGTTTGAAGCTTCCCTACGTATAGCTGTGACATCTCATAGTTTCCCTTGTGGACCCATCAGACAGTCGCTGAATTTACATTCCTAGTCATCTTCTTACTCCTTTTTCTTAAAAAAAAACCCCTTTGTTGGAATTAAAAGTCTAATATGTCCATAAGTATTCGGGTTTCGGATCTGTTGCTGTGTGGAGAGGTTGATTCCCCTTGTGGAAGAGTCTGGGACCACGGGTATATTCTCAGAGTCAAGCGTCACCCATTTAAGATGGAGATGAGGAGGAATTTCTTCTCTCCGGGGGGAGTGAATCTGTGGAATTCTTTACCACCGAGGCTGGGTCGTTATGTATATTCAAGACTGAGATAAGAGAGACTTTTAATCAGGAAGGATACCAAGGGTTATCGGGGGGGAAAGGCAGGGATGTGAAATGGTGGATTATCAGATGAGCCATGATCTCACTGAGCGGCAGAGCAGACCCGATGGGCCGAGTGGCCTGCTTCCGCTCCTGCGCCTTATGGTCTTATACATCGACACCGCTTCCCCATTCTCATGATGGTCAACCCAATCAGCTGTGCAGCGTGCGGAAATGGGTCAGAAACCTGCACTTTTGTTTTATTCATTAACAGGATGAGGGCATCGCTGGCCAGACAGCATTTGTTGTCCATCCCTAATTGCCCAGAGGGCAGTTAAGAATCAACCACATTGCTGTGGGTCTGGAGTCACATGTAGAACATAGAACATAGAACATTACAGTGCAGTACAGGCCCTTCGGCCCTCGATGTTGCGCCGACCTTCAGGCCCAGACCAGGTAAGGATGGCATTAGTGAACCGGATGGGTTTTTCCCAACAATCGATAATGGATTCACAGTCATCATTAGATTCTTAATTCCAGATATTTTATTGAATTCAAATTCCACCATCTGCCATGGCAGGATTCAAACCCAGGTCCCCCGGATTAACAGTCAAGCGATAATACCACTAGGCCATTGCCTCCTGGCTGCAAAGTACCCGGCCTATCTCGCATCACCCTGGAAAGGCAACAGATAGGATCCTGCTTTAAGTGGGCTGTTCCGTACTGCTACTGCACAGTGCCACTTTGAGGGGATTTTGAAATGTCGTAGGAACATCAGAAAACTCTGGAATCATCCACAGCAGCTCGATGATGACCAGAGATAGTAAGAACTGCAGACGCTGGATTCAGAGATAACACAGTGTGTTTGTTTAAGTGCCATTGATAAATGTTATCCCAGGACAGTAGATTTTTAATCAGTAACGGGAATCAAGGCTAATGCGGACAAAGGCAGGAAAGTGGACCTGAGGATTATCAGATCAGTCTTGATCACGTTGAACAGCAGAGCAGGGCTGAATGGTCTCTTTCTCTCGTGTCTTACGGTCGTAACAGTGGGACTTGAACCCGCAAACCTTTGCTAGCACCCAGAGAGCAGACTCTGACCGTGTCCAAGTAAGGCTTGCTCTCAGTAATCACTAATGGACCTCTCCCAGTCGGTGCAGGGGTCATGTTCTCTTGTCTCTCTGATCCCCTAAACGTCAGGTCATCGAGCTGTACAGCACAGAAGCAGACCCTTTGTCCATGCCGACCAGATATCCTAAATTAATTAGTCCCATTTGCCAGCATTTGGCCCATATCCCTCTAAACCCTTCCTATTCATGTCCCCATCCAGATGCCTTTTAAATATTGTAATTGTACCAACCTCCATCACTTTCTGTGGCAGCTCATTCCATACATGCACCACCCTCTGCGTGAAAAAGTTTCCCCTCAGGTCCCTTTTAAATCTTTCCCCTCTCACCTTAAACCTATGCCCCTCTAGTTTTGGACTCCCCCACCCCAGGAAAAAGACCTCGGCTATTCACCCTATCTATGCCCCTCATGATTTTATAAACCTCTATAAGGTCACCCCTCAGCCTCTGCTGCTCCAGGGAAAATAGCCCCAGCCTATTCAGCCTCTCCCTGTAGCTCAAACCCTCCAAACCCGGCAACATCCTCGTGAATCTTTTTAGATCTTTCCAATCCACCTGTTCAGAGATGTTATGACACATCTTTGGAGCAGGTGGGACCTGAGCCCAGACCTCCAGGCTCAAAGGTAGGGATACTATCACTGCACCACAAGAACCTTTCAGGTTTTATACTTTAAGATTCTGAAGGGGCTCGTCAGCTTACACCCTGAGAGACAGTTCCTGCCGACTGGGGAGTCTTAACACGTAGGGGCCAATTGTTTAGGACTGAGAGGAGGAGAAATGCCTTCACCCAAGGGGTTGTGAATCTTCAGAATTCTCTACATCAGAGGCCTGTGGTCGCTCCATTGTTGAATATTTAAGGCTTTAATCGACAGGTTGTCTTTCCTGAGAATCCAGTTAAACACAGCGGCAAAGAAAATACAGAGTCATGTAGCACGGAAACAGACCCGTCGGTCCAACCGGTCCCATGCAAACATAATCCCAAACTAAACTAGTCCCTCTTGCCTGCTCCTGGCCCATATCCCTCCAAACCTTTCCTATTCATGTACTTATTGAAGAATCTTTTAAATGTTGTAATTGTATCCACTTCCTCTGGAAGTACATTTTACATGTGAACCACCCTCTGTAAGAAAAGAACTTGTCTCTCATGTCTTTTTAAATTCCCCACCTCTCACCTTAAATGTATGCCCCCTAGTCTTTAAATCCCCCACCATAGGGAAAAGACACCTGCAATTCCCCTTATCTATACCCCTCATGATTTTATAAACCTCTATCAGGGTCTACACTCCTACACTCCAGTGAGAAAAGTCCCAGCCTTCCTTTATAACTGAAACGACTGGGAGCTGTTTTCGTTTGTCGCGAACCAAGCGTAGGTGTTCTGCAAAGCGGTCTCCAAGCCTCCGCTTGGTTTCCCCGATGTAGAGGAGGCCACATCGGGAACAGTGGATATAGTATACCGCATCAGCAGATGTGCAGGTGAACATCTGTTTGATGTGGAAGGTCTTCTTGGAGCCTGGGATAGGGATGGGGGGAGAGGTGTAGGGGCAGGTGTAGCACTTCGTGCGGATGTGGCCCATTGTGACCACCTCTACATTGGGGAAACCAGGCGGAGGCTTGGAGACTGCTTTGTGGAACACCTACGCTCGGTTTGTGACAAACGACAACACCTCCCAGTTGCGAACTACTTCAACTCCCCCTCCCACTCCTTGGACGACATGTCCATCCTGGGCCTCCTTCAGTGCCACAACGATGCCACTCGAAGGCTGGAGGAGCAGCATCTCATATTCCGCTTGGGAACCCTGCAGCCCAATGGTCTCAATGTGGACTTGACAAGCTTCAAAACCTCCCCTCCCCATTTCTGAAGAAGGGTCTCGACCCGAAACGTCAGCCTTCCTGCTCCTCTGATGCTGCTTGGCCTGCTGTGTTCCTCCAGCTTTACACCTTGTTATCTCAGATTCTCCAGCATCGGCAGTTCCTACCATCTCTCTTGGGTAGGGGTGGGATGCTGTTCACGGGGTTGTTGTGGACTCGATGGGCCGAGTAGCCTGCTTCCACACTGTAGGGATTCTATTCTCTGAAAATCATTTATTCCAACGGGATCACTTCTCGTTCTTTCAAACGCCTGAGCGTATTGGTCTGGTCTGCTCAATTTCTCCTCCTTGGACTGTCCCTCTCGTGCAGGAAATTCGTCCAGGGGGGCATTTGTTACCTTCCCTGTGGAGCATCGGTGTCCATCCTTTTGTGGTCATTCTCACAGTGCTGTTTGTGGGATCTTTCTGTGCACTGGTTGCTGTCCCCCACATTGGGCCTACATTTCCACGAAGCAGCAGCTGTATCTAAGATGTACCTCTGTCCTTGCGGGGGTGGGGGGGGACTCACCATGAGAAGCACCACGTTGTTGGAGGGGGGTGGTTGGGTCGTGTTCTACTGCATCGAAGGTGCTAAACAAACACCAGGTGTTGTTGTCTTTTCCTTTTTCTATTCCCTCCATGGGACGGGGTCGGGGTGGGGTGTCACCAGAGTCTTTTGACTTGAGGCCTTGCTCGACCCAGGGCATTGTGGGTAATGAATGAGCGACCTCCGCCATGGGCCGAGCCAGTGGTTCGCTTCGTTTCCGAGTGGGAAGGCTGACCGCAGCGATGAAGAGGCGCCACGTAAATGCAGTCCATCTTTGAGGGAGACGGGTGCGGGCGGGGGGGTGTAGGTGTCGCGGGAGAAGGGGCTTCTTGGGGTTTGCATGGCTAATTGTCTCTCTCTATGTCTCTTTCCCCCCCCACCCCCCGCTTCCCTCGGCAGGGCAGCTGGGAGGACCTCCATCCACGTGAATGAACGCGGAGCCCGGGAGCGGTGCTGGAAGTGAGGCGGGGCCCGGCGCTGGCCGAGAATGGAGCCGAACACCTTCTCCCGGATCCGGCTGTGGTGCCCCAGGCCGCTGGGCAGCTACTCCCAGAACAAGCCGTGCTGCATCAGCGTCAAAAAGTCTGCCCCTGCGGGCGATGCCAGGCACAAGGAGGGCGAGGCCTCGTGCTCCGAGAACGTGCCCCCACAGGCCCCCTTAGGCCCCGCCGGGGGCGGCGCCGCTGGGGACGGGCAGGGGGAGGAGGGGAGGGTCCTCCTGGACACGTGGTATGTCATCAAACCGGGCAACACCAAGGAGAAGATTGCCTTCTTTGTGGCGCACCAATGCGGAGGGGGGGGGCATTGGCAGGACCACCAACGCCGTCAAGGTCAAGGGCAACTGGAGCACGGATGGCACGAAGCCCAAGAGGAGGCGCAAGTCCCGCGAGCCAGGCCAGGAGGGGTGCCCGGCCAGGCCGAGGGAACGGACCGGGATCCCCGACAGGCTGTGCCCTTGTTCTGGGCCGGTGGAGAGCGAGCCCGCGGCCGACCCGGCCTTCTCAGTGGCGGAGATGGTAGCGCGGGTGGAGAGGAGGGCGGCTGCCGGCGATGGGGCCTCCCCTCCGCGTGGACCGGCGCACCCGCCCCCTGAGCCGAGCGAGGCCCAGGCCGAAGCCCAGGAACCGGGCCCTGTTGGGGGGAGCGCCGACACCCGCAGGGTGGCTCAGGCCATCGCCCGGATCGAGAAGGCCCAGCGTGGGTGGGCCCAGGACGGCAGGCGCGAGGGGGAGGGGGAGGGGGGCGCAGCCGGAGGTGGGGAGAGGGCGCCGTGCCCGGCCGGGGAGGTGCGCATTGCCTTCCGGGTGGCGAGCGGAGACCCCCGCTCCCAGGGGGAGGCCCAGTCCCCGGGCCCGGGACCCGGCTGCATCTTCATGAGCTGTAACCACACGGTGTGCGGCGGCGTTTCGATGGAGAAGATCACATGCGACCTCTACCACATCGTCAGCCCCTCCTCCTCCTCCTCCTCGTCCGTGCCCCCCCCTGACGCCAGCAGCATCAACAACAACCACCATCACCACCACCACCACCACCGCGGCTTGGCTCGCTCTCGCTCGGACGTGGAGATGGCGACGGCCCCCCTTGCCGAAGAACCGCGGAAGGATGGCGCCCCCGAGGCGGCTGGCGGGGCCTCCCCAACCACCCCCACCACGCCCCCGGCCTCGGCCCCGGAAAAGGGAGCGCCCCGGGACTGCCTGAACGGTTTCCACGTTGAGGTGGTGGTGACCGGCGGTGTGGACCATTCTGTCTTCTTCGGCCGGGAGGGCCAAGCCGGGGACAAGGAGGACACGGTGTGCGTGACGGTCAGCGGGCCCGGCCAGGACGCCAAATGCCCGGCTTGCGAGGACCCCCCTCCTGGCCAGCTCTTCTTCCTCAGGTCCCTGCCCCAGGCGACCGGCGACGGCGTCGAAGTATCACCCGACCAGGCCCCGGGGCCTTCCCCGGACTCCAAGGAGAAGGCCGTGCTGCTGAGCCCCGAGTCCGACCCTCAGGACGCCCCGCTCTACTGCCTCTACCGCCACGTCTCGCACGACTTCCTGGAGATCCGGTTCAAAATCCAGCGGCTCCTGGAACCCCGGCAGTACCTCCTGCTCCTGCCCGACCACGTGACGGTAAAGATCCTCAGCTACCTCCCCACCCGGGCCTTGGCGGCCCTCAAGTGTGTCTGCCACCACTTCAAGGCTGTGATCGAGGCCTACGGGGTGCGGGCCACGGACTCGCGGTGGAACCGGGACCCCCTGTACCGTGACGACCCCTGCAAGCAGTGCAAGAAGCGATACGAGAGGGGCGACGTCTCCCTGTGCCGTTGGCACCCGAAACCTTATCACCACGACCTGCCTTACGGACGCTCCTATTGGATGTGCTGCCGACGGAAAGACCGGGACACCCCAGGGTGCTGTATCGGGCTCCATGACAACAACTGGGTGCAGCCTAGCGACACACTAAAGAAGGAGGAGGGGAGGTAAAACAAAAAAAAACACCCTGTGGACGGAAGAGGAACGTTCTGTTTTACGAAAAACTCTCCCCCTCCCCTCCTGACTGAACATTCCAGCTTCTCGTGTGCTCGAGATATTTAGTTTCTGTTTCGTTTTGAAGGGGTTTGGGCTGTCGCCGTGCGTATGATGTGAGATTAATTGTCGAGAGCATGATCAAGATTGTGTTCTTCCTTCTCTTTCAATTTTTTTTTTGCTTCCCCCCCTCCCCTCCAACCCACCTTGTTATCCAAATATATCGAAGCGTAATTTAAGATCAACACAAGTGCAGCTTCTTTCATCCGCACCGTCTAGCCCCTTCCTCAAAATCCAAATTCTCCCTGAGCCGTTTCCTTAGCAACCGCTTGCCCATTCTTCCAGCCGCCATCTTGGTTTCCCCTTGACGCCATTGAGGGTACAAAATCAGCAGTGACCTCGCCCCCTGGGCTCCGTTGGTGTGACCTGGCGGTTATTAACCCTTTAGAGTTACAAAGTTCTCTCCACCGAGTCCTGCCTGACCTCCACGGAGGTTTTAAGGTAGCGCTGGGCCTGATTCAGAATGGCCAAGTTTAGGACTTCTTGTCTGCAGGCAGAGCGATGCTAATGTGGTTGAACAGGTCAGTAATTGTTGCAGGAGAGAGAGAGAGACACACACATCACCTCAACTTGTCACACATTAGGACAGAATGCCAAATATTAAACGAGCAAAACAATTTTCTGAAGAAGGGTCTAGGCCCGAAACGTCAGCCTTCCTGCTCCTCTGATGCTGCTTGGCCTGCTGTGTTCATCCAGCTCTACACCATGTTATCCCTTATTCCTGAGGAGGTTGTTTGAAATTCGATACTCTCGTGTTTGTCCTGATGTGATTTTTTTTTTGGCAACTTGTCTCTCTCTCTCTGTCTGTTCAACAATCTCTTCCAACAGTCCCTCTCCCAAAGTGGGAAGGATATATCCATGAAAATATGAAACATACCATGCCTGATGTCACGCCAGTTTGAGAGAGAGGAGAGGAGGTTGGAGGGAGTGGGAAAACGCGGGATTCAATCACGGAGCCCCACACAGCTTCATTAGCTGTTCTATATCTGTGGGTCGTGGGGAAAGGTGGCATTAAAATTGGTCCCCTTTGCAACCAATTTATGGGTTGAGGGGGCACCTGTGGTAGATGGTGAGGGGAGGGGGTGGGGCGGGGCAACCCTTGGAATGGTAGCTGAGCGAATCGATGTGAAGCAACATGAAACACTGGTTACAAACACTAATTGGATTCAAACCCATGTCACTCCCAAAGGGCAGGCTTCCCCATTGTCGGGAAGGGTAGGTGTCGTGGCAATTTTGTCCAACCCTGGGTTCAAATCCCGTCGTAGCATCTGGTGACATTTAGATTTCAATTAAAATGTTTTTTTACAAAATATCTGGAATTGAAAGCTGTCGGTAACGAGGACTGTGAAACTATGATCAATTGCTGTGAAAACATCCTCGATGTCGTTCACTGATGTCCTTTTAGGGAAGGAAATCTGCCATCTTTACTCGGTCTGGTCTAAGGCAAACATAGATTTTTGAACACTAAAGGAATTAAAGGGTCCTGGGTAAAATTCCTCACTTGACTAGCCAATGTACTATGTTCTAATGTGGCCAAAACTTTTTAAAAGTTTTAAAAAGTTTACCTCATTGCTGTTGTGGGATCTTGCTGTGCACAGAGTGGTCACTGGTTTCCACCACCCACACAACGGTCGCTAAGGGTGATCACGTGAAATGTGCAAACTAATTGCGAATTTTTAACTCATTTTTGTTCAAATCCAATGTTGGGACCTATCTATTGATTCTACCTAAGCTATCCAAATTTCAATTCTTGTCTGATCCTGTGGTCACCTCCCCCCCGCCTCCCCCGCCGACACACACACACTTTCTCCAGCCACTGGGCTGTGGTTAGAAATTTGCGTGGTTTTCAGAGGGAGAGGCAGAGATTATAACCCCTTATTAATATCCAGCAATACTGACCTCAAATAATCTGTCAGTGAGTCCTAGAGTTTATCTTGACAATTCCAAATTTCATAAAAAAAAGTTCTGTACCTGGGAACATAGCGATAAAAAGGGAATTGCTGAGAAATCATTTAAACTGCTTCAGTGGTGAGAATATGAAACTGGCGATGAAATTGATGCATTCAGGGATGCAACAGACCAATTATGGAATTGAGGGAATGAGGTGAGACAAAGTATGGAGGTTCAGGTGAAAAGCAGCCATCAGGGTGATCCAGTTGGGCCGAATGGCCTGTTTCTGTGCTGTACTTTTGATGTAATACCAAACAAATTGCTTTGAAAACACCAGAGTTATCACTGTGTGAGTTTTCAGGACCATGTTCTGTACATTTGATGACAGTGCAGGGCTCAACATGAGTTTTTCTGTGGTAGATTCTGAAACACAGTGTTGTGGGGTAATGCAGGATTACCTGGAGTTCACAGACTTGTATGAGATGATGTATATTGTTAGTCTCCGTAAATTTCTTCCCTCAGTTTTACCAGGCGGCAGCTCGGAGTTGCATCTTAACTCCACATCTTAATACCCTTGGCTAAAATAAAATCTGACAAACACAATTTAGATGTTTCCATTGAGCCTAAAACCCTAACAGTTTTTCTTTGGGGAGAGCTGAGTTCCAGATTTCCACTTCCTGACTCAGAATAGCACAACATAAAAGGAGACCGTTCGCCCTCTTGTGTCTGCACTAGCTCCCAAAGTGAGCATTTTGGTTCGTGCCTGTCTCCCTGTAGCTGTTCCTTCTCGAATTGTTGTCTAATTCTGTTAAGAATGCCTCAATTGAACCTGCTTCCACCATATTCTCAGGTGGTGCACCCCAAAGCCCTAACCACCCAGCCTGTGAAAAAAGGTTTTCATATCCAGAATTGCTCTGACACACAACAGAGAGGCTTTTTTTCCCACCATCATGTCACCACGGTACAGTCCATCAATTAATCCCGTTACACACAAAGGCCAACAAGGAGCAATGCAATACTCCCACCACAGTCCAAAGGTGTGCAGGTCAGGGTGGATTGGCTGTGTTAAATTGCCCCATAGGTATGTGCAGGCTGGGTGGGTTAGCCATGGGAAATGCAGGGTTACAGGGATAGGGGAAGGGAGTAGGTCTGGATGACATGCTGTTCAGAGGGTCAGTGTAGACTCGATGGGCCAAATGGTCTGCTCCCGCACTGTCGGGATTCTATGACATCGGTTACTTTCAATCTGTGGCCTCTTGGTCTCAAAAGATTTCACGGGTGGGAGCAGGTTCTCCCACGCCAGTCTGTACACGGGAGGCAACGGCCTAGTGACATTATTGCTAGACTATTAATCCAGAGACCCAGGAAATGTTTCAGATTTGAATGCCGCCGCTGCAGATGGAAAAATTGGTGAATTCAACTTTTTTAAAAAATCTGGATTTAAGACCCTGAAACTCTAATCCCTATCTGGTTTGCTGATATCGTTTTGAGAAGGAAACTGCCATCCTTACCCAGTCTGGTCAACATGTGACTCCAGGCATACAGCAATGTGGTTAACACTTAACTGCCCTCTGGGTAAGCATGCTAAGTGCCTTCTTAATCATCCCATGTACATGTGATGCAAACTTCAAAGGATTATGTACCTGAACCCTTAGGTGTCTCTGTTCTACAACACTACCCAAGGCCCTACTTTAAATTGTCTAAGTTCTGCCCTTGTTTGTTTTACCAAACTGCAACAGCTTGCATTTATCCAAATGCTTGGAGCTCGGATTTTAAGGCTCTTTTCCCTTTCTTTGGATTCCTCCCACTCCCAGCAAAAGAAATAATTTCTCTTCATTTGCCTGTACAAATCCTTGATTTCTTTGAAACATCTCAATGTGACAGGATACAGTGGCATAGTAGCAATGTCGCTGGACTTGAGGGGTGTAGGCTAATGCCCCGTGGATGTGATTTCAGATTTTAACACGGAAACTGGTGAAACTTAAATTCAGTGAATAAAATCTGGAATTGAGAACTTCTATCAGTGATGGTGACCATGATATCTATCACTGGTTTTGTTAAAAACCCATCCAGGTCACCCTTTAGAGAAGGAAATCTGTCATCCTTAGCCGGCCTGGCCTCTATGTGACTCCAGACCCACAGCAATGGAGTTGATGTTTAACTACCCTCTGACAGGGTGGATCAAACCCCTTAGTTCAAGGGCCAGTAGGGTTGGGTAATAAAGATTCGGTTTCTCCAGCGATGACCACATCCAGTGTTGAGGATCGACGAAGAAACATTGGATCATCCTTTAATTGTCTTATTGGTAGGAATACAAGTCTAGCCCAGAATCACAGAATTGTTACGGCACAGAAAGAGCTCATTCAGCCCATCATAAGGCAAACCAAGCAACCTATCCTCTTGATTTATCCCTGGGAGCAATACTTGCTCGAATTTTTCTTTTCAGTGCATGTACCTCCAATGGCATTGACGAAGTCAATTTATTGGCACACTGAATCGAAGAAACCTTGAAGCGGTTATGGAGACTTTTTTTTGGGAGGGGTTGGGTGGAATGCTGCCTTTGGGCCCTGGTAACATTCTAGCATTGCCAGTACAGCCGTTCTGGAATTCAGTCTCTCAGAAATGATGGGGCTAACTAGAGTTACACAATGGTGACAGATCTTCCACCTCGATGAGTTCCAGTCATCCTTTTGGCTCCAATCTGGTATCTGAAACTTAAAAGAAATTTACCAGGGTCAGCAATTAGCGCGTACCAGTATGTTCACTCGAGGGAATTTAGATTGATCTGATCCTAAGAGACGGAGAAGCCATTGTATGATGGAACAAGTCCAAGGGACAGAAAGGATTCATTTCAGTGAAATGAGTGAAGGTCAAATTCGCTGATCGTGCTGTGAAATTAACTATATCTTGTGGTTTTACTTGTAGAAAGTGGAGCAAGTGTAATTTTCACATGAAGTGGGGTGAGAGAAAACTGTTTCTAATTAAGGGACCTGAAATAACTCCACCAAGGCCAGTATCGCATCACCAAGTCACCCTTTATTTACACATGCACTGTACGTGACACTGAGCCAGCTAGCACAGAGCCAGCTCTAGGCATGAACAGAACCCCAGGCACTCCTGTTTATATCTGTCAGCCAGGGCTCCCTGATTGGACCAGGTTAACAGCCCCAATCAGGGAATTCATATTTTAAGAGATCCATCTGGCTGACCTTGTTACAATCACTGCAGGACCCTTCTCAAATGGATAAATAATCAGAGGCTTTCCATCCAAATCAAATACTCATCACATTAAAGTGTTACTTGCACAATAGTGTTTTATTAGGGCTTTCTAAACAAGAAGATTATCTCTCCAAGGCAAAAATACTTAACAATAACATAATTCCATGCTGCAAAGTGTGTAACACTCAAATATGCTTTACAAACTTTTCAGAAAGATAGGACATGATGTTGTAAAGATGGAATGTGGTTACAGGTGGATGGATAGACTGAGTGGGCAACCGTCTGGAGTATAATGTGGAAAAATGTGACATTCACTTTAACTGGAAGAATAAACAAAAGAGTTTTACCTTATAAGAATGACTGCAGAATTCTGAAGGATCTTGATGACCTAGCGCAATATAGGTATTTCTGCTGTAATGCGTGTTTTGTTAATACAAATTGGCTGTAAAGAAATTGATAGATAGTGGATGCTGTTTGGATAATGCAGACTTTCTATTGAACAGTGTAGCGATTTCCCTATCACACAATTTTCTATAGCGCAAGGTCACACAAGAACACAACTATCGCATGTTAGGAGAAATACCTGTAGTTACAAAATGTTAATCTTCAGGAATACCTATTAGCTAAGGCTAATGGAATGCTACCCTTTTTTAACAAGAGGACTTGAATATTATTGTTGAAGCCATTGCTTGTCAGTTATACTGGGCGTTGGTGAGACCACAAGGAGATGTACAGCTCAGAAACAGACCCTTCAGTCCAACCCGTTCATGCTGATAAGAAATCCTAAATTAATCTAGTCCCATTTGCCAGCATTTGGTCCATATCCCTCTAAACCCTTCCTATTCACATACCCATCCAGATCCTTTTAAATGTTGTAACTGTACCCACCTCCACCACTTCCTCTGGCAGCTCGTTCCATACACGCACCACCCTCTGCGCGAAAAAGTTGCCCCTTAGGTCCCTTTTAAATCTTTTCCTTCTCACCTTAAACCTATACCCTCTAGTTTTGGACTCCCCTACCCTGGGGGAAAGACCTTGGCTATTTACCTAATCCATGCCTCATGATTTTATAAACCTCTATAAAGTCATCCCTCAGCCTCCGACGCTCCAAGGAAAATAGCCCCAGTCTGTTCAGCCTCTCCCTATAGCTCAAACCCTCCAACCCAGCAACATCCTTGTAAATCTTTTCTGAACCCTTTCAAGTTTCACATCTTTCCTATAGCAGGGAGACCAGAATTGCAAGCAGTACTCCAAAAGTGGCCTATCCAATGTCCTGTACAGTCACAACATGACCTCCCAACTCCTACACTCAATGCACTGACCAATGAAGGCAAGTGTATCAAATGCGTTCTTCAATTCCCTGTCTACCTGTGACTCCACCTTCAAGG